ACTCCAAATTTTGGCATAAGGGATCACAAGGACACCTCTCATTCAAATTCAAAATATAAGCCTGTTGACCCATTACATCCCCACTAGAACTGCTTAGTAATTAATTTTTAGCAGTACAGTGGTCCTAACGAAGACAGCAGACTTATAGCAAGGGCTGTGTATTTTTGCACAAATTCATTCTTTAACTTCCCTCATCCTCATTTGGAATATTTCTAGAATTATGGTTGTTTTGCAATGCTTTTTTCTTCACGTGAAAGACGAAAGACACGAAGCACAGAACAACTACCTCCCTTTACATTTTATGTCATAACGCTACAAACAACCACAGACAACGATGCTCTCCTTCACTGTTTCGGTCAATTCTGGTTTCCGAATATTCCGATGTCATCACTGCGTGTTGCAGGCAGTACCGTATTAATCATGTTATATTCTCAAAAGAAGCTGAATAAATAAACATGATAGAATTTCCAAACAATGTGGATAGCCTGCAACAGTTTATATACTACATAACGCATAATTGCTTTTAAGTGACTAAAATGTCAAACTTTTTAAAAGTTACAGTCCTTATCAACAGAATTTTCCAGCTACTGACAGTCCAGAAACACAGCAGAATTAACATTTTAAAACTCTACACGGGAGTGAAATACTTGACAATATGAAAAAAAATATAAAACCACAGCTGCTGAAATAAAATTCATGAAATACTTGGACGAAATTTTTAAAGAAAGGAAGACATTAAAAGTGCTAAACACAGAAACAATGTTGGACAAAATTTTGAAGTATGAAACCAATGGGATTCAACACGCTAATAAATTTAAGAGAAGAAGACTTTTCAAGCCACAATGTTACAAACCGCACGGGTTAAGAAACCGGGGATGGCCTCAAAGACGGTTTTGACTGAATGAGGCTGAAACAGATCAGCAAGTGGCCCAACTTCCTGATGTCTAGATGCTGGTGATGATAATGATTTTAAGTGCAAATTTCAAGAAATATGAATGTGTGGCATTCATAATAAATACAACATTTTAAAAATCTGAATCCACCACACACAAATCTTCATAAAACAATTTAACATTAGTCCAAACCTATTTTTCTGTGTTTCTCACTACTACTCCATACTCAAGTCTCTTGTTACACAGATTGGGTTACCTGTTAGTATGTTCTGTTTGTGTAAACATGGAACACTTCCCAACAGAAGATGGAATTTTGAGTAATCCCCTTTGTTGCTGCTGCTGCTGAGCAACGTCTTCAAAACTCTGTCCGTGCTGCTGTTGCCCAAGCTGATCTTCCCGTGCCTTAACAACGTTGTGAGGGTCACCAGCTCCTCTGTTGTTTGGTGCCGTACCTGGGCCTGCTGCCGCGTTACTGGTATTTGGATTGGTAGCAGTCGTGGCAAGCCAGGTTGTTGAATCCAGCTGGGCCATAGGTGTGCGCAGGGACACCTGACGGTAATCAAACCTGAGGAAAGAATTGCAAAAATTTATGATTTATGTTTATTATTATAAAAGTGCACACGTATGTCTTCAAAAAGATTTTATTGGGCTTTTCCCCAGTAGATGGCAGCACTAATGCAGAACATGAGAAGCTGAAACAGGCCGTGACTTCTTGCTTTCCACAAACTGCAAATTTGAGCATTTCTGTCTGTTTGCTTCTGGGTTTAGAGGTGCATCAGGTTCTAGGGCTAATCACGTCAAAAGACCCTTGAAGGCAAAACAAGACTGCAATGATTTAATTCATACTTGAACACACACATACATTGTTTACAAATTCTGAATTAATAATAGACTATGCCAGGTATCTTGTTCAACAATTTTGGTTTCAAACTACACAAATCACGTGATGTTAATGCCTTTATTAAATAATATAAAATGATGATATGGCATAATGCACATTAGCTGTATGGTAGTGTACTGGTCTTGTACATGCAGAGTTGAGGATCAAATCCTCATGAAGTTCAAACATTTTTCTTTCACGCAGCCACCAAGATGTTGTGTTACATTTTTCAAAGAATTACTTTTCCACTCTTCTGTATTTGTCTGAAAACCTTTCAAATACATGAGTTCTCTTGGATGTATCCAAGAAATAATATATTTTCAGTCAAAACTACAACTCAAAAAGAATTCTATTGCTCGTTAACCTAAAATAATTAATTATACTTCAAATTTAAAGTGCAGCACCCATCTTTTGAAAGAAACCTGTGCTTGTCCAGACACATGAAGTTCTTCTAAAATTAAATTATTACAAATAAAGGGGAAGCGGCTGGATGCTCCAACGAATAAGCTTCTTACTATGTAGTTAAATAAACTGGCGGGGGGGACACGTCTATGATAAATTGGTGAAGCCGGCAACTGTGGACATTGTGCAAACTGTGTGCAGAGATTACATCAGAAGTGCAAGCACAGAATCCATTATGATACTATTCATACATGCGCCTACATGATTATTGTCCTTGCCTTCTTCAGGGTGAATGGACAATTCTGGAAACCTTACAGTGCAGACAAGACTACTAGAATTGCCCAACCTCTACACATGCACCCTGAAGATGGCAACTGCAATGTTTGCCAAAATACTGGATAATAATTGACATTTGATGTGGCTCACCTCCAGGAGTTGAAGTTACACTGGGCAGCCCTGTCTCACCCAGATTAATAATTTCATATGTAGAGCTGTTAGATCCATCACCAATACCTATAGATGTTTTCTTGTATAAACTTTGTACTACTTTAATTAAATGTTGTGGGTAACCCTAAATATTCATAATGTTCCATAGTTTACTTCTGAGAACCCTGTCAAATGGTTTGAAATAGTCCACGAATAATATATGGGTTTATAAATGAAATTTATTACTACCGAATGAAATCTACACTATAACACCTTTCAACTGGTATAAGAATAAACTCTATATCTAATCAGGACCAGAGTTTTAATCATTTCAGTGAACCAGAATTAGGGGAAATTTACAGAAAACTTCGTATTTGTCACTTACTAAGCAGACCCAACAAGATCGTAAAACTTTCTAAGAATCAGATATGGTCATGAAAAGTTTACTCCTAACGTATGTGTATTTTATATGCAATGACCCTACAACTTCTTGAACATTTTCAGTTCACTACTTTTATTAAAGTACATGGACTTATTCACCAGACAGTAATACACACATAGAATGGAGCAAAAGCCTCTCTACACTGGAATTTGCTTCATGCTGTACATTTCTCAAAATATGAAAATTTCGGCAAGCAATGATGAAATTAAACCATCTCCTTTGTGCCATACTTGTTGCCAGGTTAAGAAAAGCAACACCCTCTGTATTCTTTCTATATTAAAAATAAGTTAATTATTTCAATGCAGTGTTTTTCCTCTTTTTTTTCAATAACATAAACAAATAACTAACCAATTCCTACAGCAATAATATTATGAAACCGAATGATTATGGTTACCGAGTTTTTTATTATCAACTTGAGTAAAATAGTAAGTGTTGGAATACTCACATGTGTTGCAGTTGTAGTGATAACACACTGTCTTAAAATATTGTGGTACCAGTAACCATCATTCACAGAATTCGCCTATAATAAACAATAAAATTCTATTATATACCGGGATTACGGTAGACAAAGTTCGAGCGGGCTTAGAAATGATATACACAATAGCAATTCACACCACCGACAACCTGACGGCAAATTTTTAGGTTGTAATTTCGTAGCAACTACAAGAATGCAACATTGCATCAGTATTTTAAACACAATAAAGACAACGAAATTAAATGCAGAATTATGACTACATTTAATGCTCGCTACTTTCAGCCAAAACATTTCAACAGAGGTCGCATTTTAAACCTAATTACCATCACTTCACGTAAAAAATAACACATATGTCATGATCACACTAGATAATACTTTTCATATTATTTTAAAATGCGGATAACAGTAACTTACGCTTTAAGTTACACTTTTCAAATCACAAAAGCTTTCTTTTTCACCAACAAAATTCTATCCGCCATCGAAAACAACATATATACGATAGACAACATTGCTACCAACATATAAAGCAGTACAATTGATTTTTTTTCTGCCCCTAATTTTCAGTATTATCAATAAAAAAATCAAAAACCATATATCTAATTCAACATTGCTGTGAAGAAGTCATGCTTTCTTCTAATCGAATTTCAAACACCTAAAATAAATACTTGTTACTTTTGAAGACATCGGCTACTTTCCATTGTTATTCGTACTACTTGTATTGACCACTGTTTTATTACCATGCTCAGATGAAATAATAATGAAAAGCGCTCCATACCTTGCCACGGTTTGTAAACCATGGGTTCTAGGATTCGGTTATCCGTGGCACCTATTTTCAGCCTGCTCACTCACTCTGTGGTGCGAGATGTAATTCGAAAAGTCAATTGTTACACGGTTTGTCATGGGACCCGAGGGTTCATTACCATGTTCACAAAAGCCCGCCAACGGACTCTAAACTGATCTTGCTGCGTTCAGTTCGCTCCATCGGTTCCTAGATTCCTAAGATCCATCTTAACGTTGTCTTGCCAACTACGACTAGATCTTACAACCAATACATGTAAACACCCCTATCTGACCCCATGCATGCCACATATCCTAACCACCTCATCCTCCTCAATATAAACACCCTAGAAATATCAGATGAGTACAAGATGTGAAGCTCATCATTATTTCCATGTCCATCTTCCTCCATTTTATGTCCATATATCTTCAACACTGTTCTCAAACTCTTCAGTATAATATTTATTTTGTCATTGTTGTATTTTGGTTTTTAATAAATGTGCATTGTTTTATAGAAATATAAACAGTATAGCGTAACTGTGGGATTTAAACTGGGTCAGCAGGGGATACATGGTTTTAAAAGCCTGGTACTTTAAAGGTTAAATACATAACTCATTATAGAAATATAAACAGTATAGCGTAATTGTGGGATTTAAACTGGGTCAGCAAGGGATACGTGGTTTTAAAAGCCTGGTACTTTAAAGGTTAAATACATAACTCATATATATTAGCATGAATCAATGACATACACACAAAACCTATATTTATTATATATATTGCATTGATTGTTTTTTGTCAGTGCATAATAATTGCTTCCAGAAATAAAGTACCATCAATTTTTGCCACTCCTGTACATAACTTGTAAAGAAAACTGCAAGTTATGGCCTAATAATGTATTTTTATATCAACATCCCTTACACCTTCTACTGCATATATGATTTGAATTTTTATATTGAGTAAGGGTGACAATTTTCTTATTACTGTATTATTAATTTTAAAATGTTCCCTTCAAAAATTAGTCTAAAGTAACGCAGTTGGCACAATTATTGTTATTACCCTCATTATTCTACACCAATATTAATGATATCCTACGACCAATCTATGAAAATATTATTATATATCAGTTCCAAATGAATGCAGTTATACTATTGCATAATTTTAATTTATAAATGAATACAAACAAATAACTAAAATGTAAAATTTATAATCTGAATAAGACTATTAATTTATGGAATAATATGAAAAGCAAGTGCCCTATTAATTATTATTATTATTATTACAGATTTAGTTTATAGTACTGTGTATATTTTACCTAAATGCTCATCACAATATTCAGTAACATAAAATGTATACAGTAAGACAACAAAATATGTCAAGAATACTGATTACAGCATACATCTGCATGTTTTCACACCATTAATACTTCTAAATATAAAATCTTATGTTACACTTTTGTCATTTAATTTTACATTCAAGGTTTCTTTTTGTAAGCAACACTTTTCTTTCCTTTGTAGCTAAAACCATCAGGGAAATGTTTCTCAGCATCCTCACTGCCTGGCGGGTAAAGTCTCATCTGGAAAATGATATGAAAATTAAAATTCAGTCTTCTGTCATTGACAGTATTTATGTGCAACAAAGTATTCTTATTTTAGCAACATTTGCCTGAAGAAAATGTTTATATTTTTCAGTCTTCTTTGTTTTTATTTCTAGTTTATATTTGCATCTTGTTTATGCTAGCTCACACTTTTAAGTTTATTTTCCATAAGCCAGTCTATCAGAAAGATCAAATTCATTCCCGCCAGAAAAGAAAAAAACACGTACTTCTTAGTGTGTGAGAAAGTTAGTGCGATCCATCTTGCAATTACATGTTCTAAATACACATTGATGCACGTATTGATATGTATTTGAAAGTTTTGAAACGACCCTGATAGAGAAAGTGTTTTAACTATAATGGTACAATATTAAAATCAATTCAAACAATTATGAGCAATTTAATTAGACCAAAATAAACACTGTACAGTGTTACAGGAAAAGAAGAAAAAAATATATTAAAATAAAAGCTGAAATTTAAGCAATACTTATATGCATAGCCCATAATTAGTTGCAAGTAATAGAGATTTATAAAAGAACGTTAAAGGAAAAATAATACTTATAAATACTAATGTACACTGAAGAATGCACATGACGGTGTAAGTAATGTCTATTATCGAGATGTTTAATGGATATGTGTGTTACCATATTTAAGTCTTGAAAATAATTAAATGTAGCAGATTCAGCGAGCCTTATGTGTGACACTTAAGCAAAACTTGTTGTGGAGCAATCAATAAAGCATTTTTAATCTTCACGACAGAATGGTAAAATATGTACTGAAAAATGTTTGTTTTTAGCATAAATAATGAAGTCCCGTACCAGAAAAAATTACACAAAATTATCAATGCGTACTACTCATCAGTGACAGGCACACAAGAAGAAGAGTAGAGAAAAAGAGAAACATGCGTGTTAGATGTTTTAATGTACTCCCCAAATAAATCTTATTCCCATCTGTAATTTTCCTTACATGCTAAAGACAATATCTCAGATTCATTTAAAAATGTTAACTTAATATACATGTCTACATTTCAGTATATGAAAAGTGTAAATTAATTGTCTTCCTAAGGGTGCAATTAATGTTTACTTTGTGTATTATGAACAGAACTTGAAAATTGTTCTTCATAATTCTCAGTGAAAGCTTATGATGACAATCTGAACACTTATTGCATTCAAGAATAAATATGGGTTCTAATGTAACACTACAACAAGAACATAAAATAAAGCTACAAGATAGAAGCTGTAAAAAGACAATGTCAGGATTATCAGCAGGTGAATGTGCACAACATGTTTATTAAAATGTGTCGACCATCAAAGATAACTTCCTTGAGTTTCACGTAAATTTTTTAAATATTTAAGACCAACTCTATTTTTGTCCGAAGCTTTGATGATATTTACTATTTAGGCCCATCTTTATAAGAAGTGGAGGAAATGCCAGCTGACAATCCACTAATGGCGGGTATTTAACACTGTTTCTCCCAGGAACAAATCTTCCCTCACAGATATAGTGACGTGTTGCTCGACTATCCCACATAGGAAACGCCGATACTTGGTAAATTCACCTTGCAGTCCAATAAAGTGTGTGATGAATTTCAGATGTTGTTCCCTGCATTTAAATTCACACAGTTCATGGAACAAGCTATTCCAGTGGTGTTGAAGGATATTTGGTTCCATCCTAACAAAACTGCTTTTTAAACTTACCGTAGATGAAGCAATAAACAGAAATCATTCTTCAGATTTCTCTTTTAGTTCCATTTTTTCCCATCAATCCACCTACAAAAATTCACACAAAAGGGAATCCTGCATATCGTAAAATGTTCGTAAAGTCAGATTTGTTTTTTCTAAAAATGGGAGTCCTCCCAAATTCAGCCCAGAAATTCCATCGTTGCAGCCTTCATTCTACAAGTTCTAATACCTACTTCAACAGAATCAGATATTACATGATTAAGTTCATTTTGTTTTGGAACATGGATCAGAGGTTTTATGAAAATCTGTTCAGCCATTTTCAAGTTGTTATATGCTTGGATGAACGGACAAGGTGAACTAACAGGCATTCCACGGTGAAGTAAATGCTCTTAAAAATTGTCATTACAGTTTTTTTTTAAAAAACTGTGACCAGTTACTATAACTCGTTAACCTGTACAACTGATAATATTATTCAAATGAATGATAATACATTCATGAGAAAGAGAATGTACCTGAAGGCGAAAATGAACAATTTGCGGTCTTGATAAATTTGAAAAGAATAATCACCATTATAAACACGTAAGTCCACAATACACCCACTGACAGTCAAATTAAAAACTTATATAATGAAGAGCAGAAATATATGACTAAATGAAGGCAGCAGAGCAACAAAACAGAAGAAACCAACGTGCGGCTAATGAAGGCAGCGGAATACGTCAGCTACAGTGAGAGATAAACAGGTGAAGAAAGCTGAAAATGTACACAAAACAACAACAGAGACAAATATTATACAAAACTGTATACCTAATTACTTTCAAACACAGTTTCTGTATCAAGAAAGTAAGTTAGATCTTCACGGAACTGAAATCATTTGGCGTATCAGCTTCGGCCTCCTGCTCCTTCCGGATCCGTTTCTGTGGGGAACAAAACAAGTTAGGCATAGTATACATGTAAAAAAACTGAACTAGTATTTTATATTATTTAATTTGTATCAGTTAATATAATCTCCTGCTTGAGTACTAGAATTATACCAGCAGCGATTCACGTTTACTGTGCACATGAAATTATTGTTGATACTGTCATTAACCCTGTCCAGTCTGTACCCAAGACAGTAATTTCCAGTATCTGACTGAATGTTTTATTTGTAACAACCATTTGTTTGGTCATTATCAACTATCATGCTTCCGTCATACAAAAATTGTCTTTTATAGTCTTATTGGAAAGAAACTTTTATGTCAGTACACGAAATTAAAAAAAGTTGATATTATTCTAAACTATATTATGTAACGTATTAAGCTAATAGATTTTTGTAGAATTTCAGGACTATGTACCATGATTTTAAAAGAAAGTAATGAGAAAGGGAAATCTTTGTAATGTTAATTTTTCTAAAACTGCATCCCATAAGCCAAAGTATTTGTTGGGAATATAATTTTCTAATGAATGTTTTCGTAAGTTCCTAATTAACATTTTTTACCTACAGAATCTTGCTCTGGGCTAAATAAACTGTATATTTTTACAACACAGCATATATTTATACTTCTTCAAATCCTACTCCATCTTGTACGTGAAATTAACATAAACATTAGACGTCATCTTTCCTGAGTTAATAAGGTTGCAGTGTTTGCAATGTATAGAGAATTTTATGACTTTAATTATTCTTATCACTATATTGATAATGAAAATATAGAGAGATTTCTCACAAGACCTGGTGTCTCAATACACAAGACTATTTTCAGGTTATAAATATGCAGTGTAGGGGCAAACAAATTTTTTTTTTCTATTTGTGAATAAATCATTTAATTATAAGGGAACGTACGAGGCTTTACCAAAAAGTTCTTTGAAGAGGACTCACAAGACGGGAACTCTGTGGCGTGTAGCACACGTGACAATGGGAAGAAATTTAACATGACAGAATGCTTAATTTCTGACGCGACCCACCATCTGTACATAATTCCAAAAGAAGACTCCCATCAATGTTTCCAATAGGTTTGTGTGTGTGCGCGTGCACATACTTTTACCAAAAAGAGGAGTGCTTCAAAAGTGATTAATGACAAGTAGGTATTTGATCACTCACTAAACTTTCTGATCAAGCCTCGTACATTACACATCAATATGTTATACAAAGTTTGAAAATTAAGTATAACGTGCACTCTGATAGGACGCAGTAAACGACTCCCTTCACATAACATCTCTTGCGATAAGTACGTAAAAACTTGTGAGTTTGATTAACTGTTTTTGGGATGATCTGAAGAGTCGTGTATCCCACACACATCTCAAGGTCAAAATAGAAAAAAGAGATTGGGCTTACATCATAAGAGATGACGCATGACGGATGACATCTCTAGCTGCCTCCAAGAGTCTGCCATTTAATAAACACAATTTTGGAAATGAGCAATTTGTGCGTCTTACTTAATTTTCAGGTTTTACATTAATACAAAGATCTCTGCTCCTTTATGAATATAAGAAACTGATTCATGGATAAAACATTCCCTTTTCTTTCCCCTCTCTGTTTTATAGACAGAAGCAGACAAATTCTCGTAGAAGCCAAATAAATTATGGCAAGTCTTTCGAATGGCTCACCATGATGCGATACTTCTCCTTGCATGCGTATTCTGACTCATCAACATCATTGTAACAATCGCTCTTGTAGTCAGGTGGTAGTCCATTACCGCCATGTTCACACAACTTGCTTAGGGGTCGTGCCTGAACAATCATCTTGTCAAAACCTGTCGGTTTCCGCTGTGGGCAGTAGAAGACGTCTGGAGTTTTCTTATTGAATACGATTGACTTGCGCATCATATCACCTGCGTATGCTGCTGCAACCTGGAGAACACATTATAGTTAGTTCACAACCAAATGCACACTCCTGAAGTCAGCTGTGTAACATGCTGAATGAATTTTACAAATATCAACTGTTTTTCCCTCTCTGAATAGTTGTCAGTATCCATTTATAATATGTAACTTACAGGTAAATTTAGATTATACTACTTACAACCACAAGCAGCAGTCCGATGACCAAAGTCCATCGAGCTAGAACAAATTGCACAAAATTATATAAAGTGCACAGCGACTTCACTGAATCACTTAGCAACTAGTAAGTTATGCATGCCTTAGTCAAACTTAGCATGCGAAAAATATTAAACAGCCAATACACTTAAATCTCCCAACCTTATAGAATAATCTTCCATCTATTCTAAGTAATTTAGAAAAACATAAAAATACGATTACAGAGTATTATATTAGTAGTTCAAATTGTTAATATCAAAGTGATTTTCTGGCTGTAACTGACTGGTGAAAAATCAGTTTTAATGTTTCAGAATATGGTTTGAATCCTCATCATTGTACCAGTTTATTATCTAATCACCAGATGATTTTTCATTGTTACGTTCAATTTTAGTTACTTTATGTTAGGTTAATACTACTTAGGGGTATTTATGTTCTAATCTGCAAGTATTTTGGTGTTTTTGTTGTTGTTTAGTGTGTTTCCGTCAGTAAAAAATTACAATTGTTCTTCAAAATAGCAGCACGTATTATATCTGCGGTTACAGTTAAGGACAGACGACTAAAAACTGTAACCTTAGATAATTCTACAAAGCATATGTTCTTTGGTTTACAAAGCAGCGCTTGTTGAAACCAAGAGTCATGTTCGTCTGTAGTTACCTTGAAGTCACTATGAAGCCATATTGCAAGGATACTAACATTTTTTGAGATTGCATTCTGTTTATCGAGGCCTTGTTTGCCTTGACTTTTCGGCACCGCGACTGAGGTGCGCCTAATCAAGTTGTTTGATGTTCCTTTGGTTTATTTTGCAAAGAAAGTGGGCGTGAAGGTCTAAGGTTTCCTGTTATGCAGTTGGTCTCCGTTCCGAAATAGACCGAATCCGCTCTGACCTCTCCGTTCCTTCCACTCTTTATCCGCGTCAAACAAAGTCATAATTTTGTGTAGGCCATGTCCGGAACAGTAGGCTCTCAACGTGATTTTGATTCGACGTTACTCTGTACTCTGAAGTTCATCATAACCTCAATCATCGTCCCATCAATGGGTGCAGAACAAAAGTTACGTCCAATGAGTGTTCCCATCTAAAACTCTAGATTCCTACTTCAGTGCAGCCAACCGGCCAAAGCTTACAATGCATCGCTTGAAATAGAACCATGGTTATAAAAGGAAGTAGTCTTAACATGATTCGGATTTAGGTAAATTTTAAATTATGGTAGGTTAGGCATTCGAGCAAAATTAGACCCGGAAGCTTTCGAATACGTAATACTAACGCCAGCAGTTCGACGTTCGATCAATTTAACTTACATAGGCGGTGAACAGAACGAAAAAATGGTGGCATAACAAGTAGGCCACGACCCACAAATTCGGAGAAATATCTAATTCAGTTCCACTTCGTACGCCAAGACTGTCACCTGAAGCCACGTAAGATTTCCGCTGTGAAATGACGTCTGAGCTATGACTGGACATTATTTTAGATTATTATACATTTATTTTTGTGAGAGAAGCAGATTCATCTGGCGTCACCTGCGGAGGACAAAGTTTGTGTATTTCGTCATCATAATTGTAAAATACGTAGTCGTATTAAGCAACCAAAGCGTTAACACACATTTCTCAATTCTTTACTTTGTTATTAATATGGATACAAGATTACCGACGTTTCAGAGGTGGAGGCAGCAAAGGCCTTTCCATAGAAGCAATTATAATGAGAGAAAGTTAGCATATGCGCTCTTAACGTGACATTTGATTTGACTGTCAAATGACATGCCGGAATCTTCATAACCACGGAAAGCTAACAACAGAAAAAGTGTTTATTTCTTGACTGTTGCATCAATAGAGTTTCAGATGTGTCATCAGCATCGATGACGTCATTCAGAGGCAGACGCTCGAGGGTGACGTCATCAAGGAGATTCATCCTCCCACGGACCAGAAACTGAGGATTCCTTTCAATTTTCTCGTGCCTTCCTGAAGGCGTATTCAAATACAAATGATGTGTTGACAAACATTACAACTTCACGACAAATGCTGACTTTTGTGAAACTGGTAATAAACCTTGAGTGATCCATTAAAGGCGGACGTTTCTTTGGCTAAGCAAGTGTTAACTTCGCTACAAGGACTTTGCTTCATGCATATTAAGATAATAAATTTGATGTTACCTAGAATTTTGAAATATGTTTAGGCTGCATTCGTAACGTAAGCATTTCGATGACCGACTGATTGCTTTTTCGTGACCGAAAGTTTGTAATAGGTCACGACTGCTTTCAGCCACGTCATTCTAGTTTCGTAATTCGCAGTCACGCAACAAACACAAGTCGGCGCTGTGTGCATACACGATTTTAACAACACCGAAACAAAATCAATGCCCTTCGAAGACGGAACTCGTCTAAATAGCATTTAAGAATCCAGTCCGTACCGCGAAGAAAACACAGCCCCTCACCATTGCAAAAATGACGCTGTTTAAGGAAATAATCGCTGTTTACACCGAGAATCGTGTGAAACCTATGACTACAAAATGGAGATTTATATCGCCCGCCAAAAAAATAAAAGTTCAATATATGAATTCATTGTGAATTAAATTCGTAATATTTCCTGAGTTCCATTGACTGAAGCACGTGCCGTGTTTGTTTACTGTTTAGACAGGAGGCTGCAACTTTGCATTCATCCAATACGAGAGTTTATCCTAGTCATGAGTCAGTCTCCGAGTGCCTCAGTGCAATGAATTTTTCAGTTATGCTTTCGACAGTTCGTATATCAATTCATAGGCAACTAATTTCCTCGTAGTTACTTAAATCTACTTGCTATCTTCACTTCGTACTTTAATATAAATTTTAATATTATCCTTTCGTCTATTTCTGGATCTACAAAGTGACCTCTTTCATACTCGACCCGGAGTCTTTGTTTCCCCATGCCTGGTGCATGATCCACCCACCTCACTCATTTCCCAGGCCTTCTTAAGATGAGAGATGGTCATATTAAGGAGCTAGTCTCAATCCACACAGAGTGGAGACCCTTCTGTCCTTATTTTACCTGATGACGGCGACAGATCCTTTCTCCGAAACGTCGTGTTACGAGAAACAACAAATATAAATAAACAATGAATATGTCAAAACTTTTACAACGCACCATCGTCAATAACTTCTATTGTTCGAATGGTTAATGCTTTCATTCGCAACGTAAAGCCAAGGTCGGTTTATATAAACTGGTTTGTGAATACGGGGTTCACTGGTGTTTAACGATTAATTGTATTTCTAAACAGATGTCACGAGAAATATTCGAAACTATTACGGTTAATGGTAGGCCTACGCCCACGTGAGGTTTATGACCTCTACGCAGCTTACAGAGCGGATTTCTCAATTGACATTCATTTGTTTCAGACAGTATTATTTCATTTGCGTACAGTACGGGCAACATTGATGAACAAAATAATTACACACGTAGAAAAAATGAAAATTATGACATCCGATTTATAAATTGTAACGGTTTAAAAATCGAATATTAGATTACTCGAATCGAAAACATCTTGTTTTAGCGATACATCACGCCGTGCTTGTTTTTACGATAATTAATTATTTTTCTGATTTTTTGTTAGCGAAAGTTGTATCTGCTAATGTTGATCTATATATGGCACACAGTCTAAATTAATTTCTGCATTATGACCTTATGCTACGCACATTATATCTCTACCACGTAAGTAATTCTCAGCTGAAATGCTTGATTTTAATAACGCGTCACATAAATCACTGCTATATTGCGTGATTTATTTTTGACTTACATTCGATGCTACTGAAAGTAAACAAAACGAGAAACTGTCTAAGTGGTACCTGAATAAATGAGAAGAGAATGTACTCACCCATGACTTGCCTTGCACCTGCTCCCAACCAGACTCACTCAAAGACTGAAGCAACATCACCAAGAAAGGTGTTCCATTACTTTCTCCAGTCCGCATCATGGATACCGTTACCTTGAGCGAGCGGTTTCAGTCTATAAAGACGAAGCTGGCACTTCTTAACACACAAAACTGATCCTTACTGCGACTTCAAACCTCTACCTCCGTCGCATTCAACTTTCTGATGTGCGATTGTGGAGTGAGTTGCAGGGGGGGACATTTTTTCTATCTCCTTCTTCGTTTTAACCAACAAACGAATCGAATCTGGCGACAGTGAACGAATTCTGTCCTCAAGGAGTTTTATTCAGGTGGGCGATGGTCCTTCACTACTCGCCATCCAATTTTATACGCTTAAATTTAACGTAAAGACTGAGGAAAAATTTATTATTTATTATTGCATACCCTTTCAATACAATAAATTCCAAGAATACATGCGAAAAGAATTTAGTTTAATTGAAGGCACGTGTAATTACTTCTAAATGCACTAGTCTCTTATTGGAATGCCTGTTGTGGATTCAATCCAGCTGAGGAAAGCGGTAATCCTCGTGAACGCTGGGGGCCATCCAATCTCACATCCAAGCGAGATTCCGAAGGAAACCAATCCGATCTGAGTTGGCAGCCTGTCAGATTCTGTGATGATCAGTGGACCACCGCTGTCACCCTAAAAGAAAAGTTTTCACAAAACTCATATTAAGTCGCAATTAATTGGTAATTCATTTAATGAGAATCGTATTTCGAAGCCACACGAGAGAGTATTTAATGTGGGTTACTTACGCTGCAGGTGCTCTTCCCCCCACTGCCTGAAGTGCAGATATGTCCGTCATTTATTAAGCCCAAATAGTAGATGTCACACTGCAAATTGGAGATCACAGGACTCTGAACAAATCTCAGAACTGGGCTGATGGTAGAAGCGCCTGTTTTTGGAGATAAATCGTATTTAGTTTCGTAATCATCAAAGACGAGTCAATCAAGAATATCAGTCTCTTTCCAATTTTCAGTAGAATGAAGAGCATCTTACTATGTTAAAATATAAACTTTCGATCTTTTTTCGCCTGTGAGCAGCTGACATTTTCGAAATGTATTTCATCTCAGAAAATTTGAACCTGCACGAAATAATTCAGTTTTACAAGTAGGTCTGTGCCAAGGTTAAGGATGTGTGGACCTTCATCGCATATTGAATAAGCCTGTAGAAAACTTTCCTTCCTTCTCGTGCAGTTCGCAAAGTTTTTCGGATTCTGTTTCGTAATATATCGCGTAGGAACCGTTTCATTTAAACTTTTCAAATACTTCGAGATGAGAGAGAACAGTTCCTGCCACATTTAACTTAAATAACAGAAAACGTACTGTCGGAGTCTTTTCCCCAGCCGCTGACTGTGGTGTCTGCATTAGCGAAGTTTTCATTCAGCTGTCCACGTGACGGCAGACGAACGGACTTGATGTCATCTGCAACAGAAAACAATTTTAACAAATAACAATAAATCCGTATAAATTAATCTGTTATTTACTGTCTGAAAGTGTCAAAATAAGTGAGATTTCAGGTTTTCACAGTCGTAAAAACGTGAACTGAAATATTTTGGGTTGTAATGTTTGTTATGGTTTTCCTCAGTCCTTCATTTGAACAGAGCTTAAGCACAGAGGAAACTTTATTTTTTTTTAATATCAAGCAAGTATTTCGGTAAGATTTTTAATCCATTTCTATTTCCATAAGTTTAATGGCACGCGCATGTAGCAAGTATAATAAATTTATAAGATCACTATGACATCAGAATGTCAATAACAATAATAATCTCTCTCCCTTACCGTTCAGTTCGACTTTGACGGGCAATTTAAGGAGAGCAATGTCATTTTCCAGTGTCGCTGAATCCCAATTTGGATGAACGTGCTTTTCTGTCGTTTTGACAAGCACCTGAGAGGCCTCTTGTTCTAGAACACGATGTGCACCAAGAATGACCTCAAAACTTGAACCCCTATAAAGGCAGAATAAAGTTTTATGCATAAAAATTCTAAATTCTAAAATCATAACAACGACACATAAAAGTGCTTTTATCTTCAGTCTTTCATGAAGTAACATCTGAAGGTTTCACAGCGACGAAGTATAATTAATTTTTCTTAGGTTGCCAGCCGTGCTGGGTGGTTTAATGGACGGCTGGTAGCCCAAGAAGAATTCTTTATTTAGTCTTTCAGCAGCCACATTTTGCATTACTTCTCTTCTACAATTTATCTTTTGTGTTTCTGGCATGTAACTAGAACACACAGAGAAATTAGAGGGCTGTTTGGCACAAAACTGTTTAATCGTGGTCAAATTAACAAACACGCATCGACTCACCAGTGTTGCCAGTGGTTGATAACATAAATTCTCTTTCTTTATATTCAAACCTTTTTTTAAAAAAAAAGTTGTGACATTTCGCATGTAGACGATGTACTGCTCTTCAAGTGTTGCCAATATAATACACACCCGAACCCAGGATCTCCCATACTTAAACTGTTGGCTGTAAGATTTCAGCAACAACATATTTTTTTAATTGTAATACGATTAAAAGCGCTGTACTGAGACTGGATTTGAATTACACCATACAGAATAAATGCTATACATTTTACTTACAGTAACAAAATATATTATAGCAAGTTTCAAAGACTGAGAAATAAAGTAAGAAGCCACAACAAAGAATTGCTAGGATAATGCCATATGCTGTGTAAAAAATGTAATATTTCGTAACTGGAATCCTCGTACCAAAGGCAAAATGCAACTCACTCTACAGCACAGTGGGCGGCCGTCAAAATCCACTCATTCGAGAGCACGGATCCGCCACAGAAAGCAGTGCCACTTGAAGTTTCAATTAGGATCCCCACTTGGTGTGGGAACTGGTGAGGATCGGCCTCTTGACCTCCAGTAATTCGTGAACTACCTGCAAAACATGATGAATTTTGGCAACAATGCCAGTTTTAGTATATTTCCTCGACTTTAAGACACTATCGACTGTAAGACTCAACCTCAATTCAGTAATACGATTTACAGATTTACAGGAAAAAAGACGCCTTATCGATTCATACGCGCCATAAAATGCAGAACGCACCCAGATTTCACAAAACTTAAAATGCGAAGAAAATAAATGAGTTTTAAAATCGAGGAAATACGGTTTTAAAATTGATAAATGTGAAAACCTCTGACCTGCTGCAGAACTTGCTTCGTAACAAAGAAAAACGAACACACTTTCCCCGTGTTTTGAATTTTCTTTGTGGACATGAAGATTAAATGGGAGTCGATACTAACCTCACTAATTTTTAATATCTGTGAATTGCAAGTTTTGCTACAAGGGTGCCAAACCACAAAACTACTTTTGACTCACGAATTGCAAGCGATTTTCAACTCACCTGGCGAGAGATTTCCTCTGACGAAAGGATAATGTGGAAGTTTCGGTTCAAGAGACAGCAGATTCGACCAGTCCCTGGTTTCCTTTCAAAACAAACACAAAAAAGATAAATGATTTATATCAGAGTTTACTTCTGGCATTGTCAGAATCTTCTCTGACTCCGAACGACATTTTCACTTGTTTGTAGATGGGATTGGCCGAGTTTAACGCAATCCAGACCATAAAGTAGTTTGAATACGTATAAATATATCATTACTTCAAGTAACTCGATACCACAATGAAAGTAACTCACCTTTGAACTGGCAGCTGCTACCAACAGCACTAATGACAGTAGTGTAAATATTTTCATCCTTGAATAGTTCTCGATGTACAGAAGTTACAATGTGAAATACGATATGATTCGCGTATATATATGCATTTGTAACCAAGATAGGATGCTGATATTTGGAATGCATTATTCGATAAAGATTAAAATACCGATAATGATTAAAATCCAAATAGTCACTGTCTGGCCGCTAAAGATTAGATTCAATTAATACAGACTCTTACAGAGATAGGAATGGATTTTCTTATTAAATAAATGTTATAATTTCAGGTAAAAATATCTGCATATATTATCTTCAGTTCATAATGTCTGTGTTATTTTACGGCTGAGAAAGTTTATTCGAATTTAGAATAATGTTATTCTCCTTACAAATATTAGATAAATATTTTGAAGGCTAACTGGATGCAAAGTTGACTCAGATGCTTGATTATTCGGTATCGCCCTTATATTAAAACAACTTAAATGAAAAAGAGATTTTAATTTAAACCGAAGCTCGGAAGTAATTGGAGGTTAGCTTTTTCTCGGACCGTAAAATTTCTCCAACGCATTTATTACGATTATAAACACGAAACGGATTTCTAAGTAAAATATATTTATATTTTCTTCTGAGCTGTTTTCAGCTCACGAAAACCAATGTCGTGTGAAACACATATTTCTATATTCACGTACATAAATATTTTGTCGACCTGAGTGAAACGTATTGTCTGGTTAAGTATCCTTTGTTTTGACGCGAGGACACTATACTTAGGATATCTGTGTTGTATCGTAGGCCACTCATTCAACAAGAGAGCCAACACTTGAGCTAATATATTTTATCGCATTCCCTGCAAAACCCGTAGATTTAAACTTTAAAAAATGCGACACAAAGCACGTGAACTTGAGCGATAAAGATACATACGTGTTACAATGGCTATTACGTTAATTGTTTCACACGTCCTCTTCAAATTTGGACCCACGTTATCGGGTTCGGTATTTCCCAGACAGAATTAAAGACCAATTCATTTACTTTAATCTTAAAATAAGCGTACTACAATATAGACATTTCGTGTTGTGTTTACATTGATTATCTTATCAACAAGAATTTGCAATGAATATTAATCCTGTCACTACCACGAATTCGATGTCGTTGACTATGAAAAACTTCGCATTTAAGAAGACGGCTTCAACAGACCAGGAACGAGAAACTGAACGCCAATTATGTAATTAATAGTTTCTTAGTAATTAATCCAGTAATTCAAATTTTGTCTCGACAAAACACCCTCAACTCTGGACTCTCTTTTATGTGTTCAGTGATTTAATTAGGATCGCTGTTCCCCCCCCAAATTCTCAGGTTGACCAAGAAATTGAACGTGGCCTCATCACCGGAGACAATTTTGACTATAAAAATTTTTTGCGCAGAATTAAACAAATTTCAGAATCCACAGATTCTGACATGAACACCAGAGTGAACTGTAAACCTTTCAAATACCGTTCACCCAAAAAATGGACCTACCAGTCTTTGGTACGGTTCCCCGCTCACATCAAAACAATCTCCGAGAAAGAATTCAACCATCAATGCATTCAGATCCTCTTGTATTCTCCCCGAGATAAACAAGAGCCGTAGCCACTCTCGGCCGGAGCAAGGATTTGGACAACCCTCGATTCAGCACCAAAAACCACAGCGAAGTTGAAGATCGCTGAGGCATTACAAAGGGAATAAAATGGATCGCTACGGCACCAGACATCAAGATGATGGATCATTTGATTTAAATGCTATTTGGGGGCAAAACACAATCACGTATTTGCAAAATTGTAATGAAATCAAAATTAAAACTTTATTGGTACTTACACACGGACACAGACATTCAATAAAAATGTTCGTCTTTCAAAAACAAAAACCATACAGAATAAATGCTATACATTTTACTTACAGTAACAAAATATATTATAGCAAGTTTCAAAGACTGAGAAATAAAGTAAGAAGCCACAACAAAGAATTGCTAGGATAATGCCATATGCTGTGTAAAAAATGTAATATTTCGTAACTGGAATCCTCGTACCAAAGGCAAAATGCAACTCACTCTACAGCACAGTGGGCGGCCGTCAAAATCCACTCATTCGAGAGCACGGATCCGCCACAGAAAGCAGTGCCACTTGAAGTTTCAATTAGGATCCCCACTTGGTGTGGGAACTGGTGAGGATCGGCCTCTTGACCTCCAGTAATTCGTGAACTACCTGCAAAACATGATGAATTTTGGCAACAATGCCAGTTTTAGTATATTTCCTCGACTTTAAGACACTATCGACTGTAAGACTCAACCTCAATTCAGTAATACGATTTACAGATTTACAGGAAAAAAGACGCCTTATCGATTCATACGCGCCATAAAATGCAGAACGCACCCAGATTTCACAAAACTTAAAATGCGAAGAAAATAAATGAGTTTTAAAATCGAGGAAATACGGTTTTAAAATTGATAAATGTGAAAACCTCTGACCTGCTGCAGAACTTGCTTCGTAACAAAGAAAAACGAACACACTTTCCCCGTGTTTTGAATTTTCTTTGTGGACATGAAGATTAAATGGGAGTCGATACTAACCTCACTAATTTTTAATATCTGTGAATTGCAAGTTTTGCTACAAGGGTGCCAAACCACAAAACTACTTTTGACTCACGAATTGCAAGCGATTTTCAACTCACCTGGCGAGAGATTTCCTCTGACGAAAGGATAATGTGGAAGTTTCGGTTCAAGAGACAGCAGATTCGACCAGTCCCTGGTTTCCTTTCAAAACAAACACAAAAAAGATAAATGATTTATATCAGAGTTTACTTCTGGCATTGTCAGAATCTTCTCTGACTCCGAACGACATTTTCACTTGTTTGTAGATGGGATTGGCCGAGTTTAACGCAATCCAGACCATAAAGTAGTTTGAATACGTATAAATATATCATTACTTCAAGTAACTCGATACCACAATGAAAGTAACTCACCTTTGAACTGGCAGCTGCTACCAACAGCACTAATGACAGTAGTGTAAATATTTTCATCCTTGAATAGTTCTCGATGTACAGAAGTTACAATGTGAAATACGATATGATTCGCGTATATATATGCATTTGTAACCAAGATAGGATGCTGATATTTGGAATGCATTATTCGATAAAGATTAAAATACCGATAATGATTAAAATCCAAATAGTCACTGTCTGGCCGCTAAAGATTAGATTCAATTAATACAGACTCTTACAGAGATAGGAATGGATTTTCTTATTAAATAAATGTTATAATTTCAGGTAAAAATATCTGCATATATTATCTTCAGTTCATAATGTCTGTGTTATTTTACGGCTGAGAAAGTTTATTCGAATTTAGAATAATGTTATTCTCCTTACAAATATTAGATAAATATTTTGAAGGCTAACTGGATGCAAAGTTGACTCAGATGCTTGATTATTCGGTATCGCCCTTATATTAAAACAACTTAAATGAAAAAGAGATTTTAATTTAAACCGAAGCTCGGAAGTAATTGGAGGTTAGCTTTTTCTCGGACCGTAAAATTTCTCCAACGCATTTATTACGATTATAAACACGAAACGGATTTCTAAGTAAAATATATTTATATTTTCTTCTGAGCTGTTTTCAGCTCACGAAAACCAATGTCGTGTGAAACACATATTTCTATATTCACGTACATAAATATTTTGTCGACCTGAGTGAAACGTATTGTCTGGTTAAGTATCCTTTGTTTTGACGCGAGGACACTATACTTAGGATATCTGTGTTGTATCGTAGGCCACTCATTCAACAAGAGAGCCAACACTTGAGCTAATATATTTTATCGCATTCCCTGCAAAACCCGTAGATTTAAACTTTAAAAAATGCGACACAAAGCACGTGAACTTGAGCGATAAAGATACATACGTGTTACAATGGCTATTACGTTAATTGTTTCACACGTCCTCTTCAAATTTGGACCCACGTTATCGGGTTCGGTATTTCCCAGACAGAATTAAAGACCAATTCATTTACTTTAATCTTAAAATAAGCGTACTACAATATAGACATTTCGTGTTGTGTTTACATTGATTATCTTATCAACAAGAATTTGCAATGAATATTAATCCTGTCACTACCACGAATTCGATGTCGTTGACTATGAAAAACTTCGCATTTAAGAAGACGGCTTCAACAGACCAGGAACGAGAAACTGAACGCCAATTATGTAATTAATAGTTTCTTAGTAATTAATCCAGTAATTCAAATTTTGTCTCGACAAAACACCCTCAACTCTGGACTCTCTTTTATGTGTTCAGTGATTTAATTAGGATCGCTGTTCCCCCCCCAAATTCTCAGGTTGACCAAGAAATTGAACGTGGCCTCATCACCGGAGACAATTTTGACTATAAAAATTTTTTGCGCAGAATTAAACAAATTTCAGAATCCACAGATTCTGACATGAACACCAGAGTGAACTGTAAACCTTTCAAATACCGTTCACCCAAAAAATGGACCTACCAGTCTTTGGTACGGTTCCCCGCTCACATCAAAACAATCTCCGAGAAAGAATTCAACCATCAATGCATTCAGATCCTCTTGTATTCTCCCCGAGATAAACAAGAGCCGTAGCCACTCTCGGCCGGAGCAAGGATTTGGACAACCCTCGATTCAGCACCAAAAACCACAGCGAAGTTGAAGATCGCTGAGGCATTACAAAGGGAATAAAATGGATCGCTACGGCACCAGACATCAAGATGATGGATCATTTGATTTAAATGCTATTTGGGGGCAAAACACAATCACGTATTTGCAAAATTGTAATGAAATCAAAATTAAAACTTTATTGGTACTTACACACGGACACAGACATTCAATAAAAATGTTCGTCTTTCAAAAACAAAATTAGAAATGGAAAATTTTAAAAGTTGACGACTGCAGAGCGTGAATCCTACCAACGCTGTTACTACCGCAAGGCAAAAGCGTTTGCAAATTGCAACAGACACCTTAAGAGAGCCTGAGGTCCTCAAGGTGGCGGAAATGTTGGGACACGAAGCCGCGGACTTGAAGGTGAGAACCAGCACCGCAAAGAAAACCCCAAATCATAAATTGGCAGATTTCTTCAATTACAACGGTTAAGAGTCCCGCTTCGTATTCGGGAGATCCCGGATTCAAATCTCGGCTAAACTGACCGTGGTTTTCATGGTCTTCCTCAGTCCTTCAACGCAAACGTCGAAATACTACCTTAAATTAGGCCACGACCGCTTCCTTCCACATCCTTTCCAAATCTCTTCTTCGACGCTACGTGACCTAAGCTCCTGAAAAAGAGTTGTTGGATAAACTACAAATAAATAAGTAGCAATGCTTTTATTGAATCAATGCTCGTAACAAAGATTTACTTCCTTACTATTTTAAATAGACAGGCCATGTTATTTTATAATTTTCTTATGAAAAACGCGTCGCATCAGTTCGTGCCGCGCTAAACTCCTCCCTCCTGATCACTTAAACTACACAAGTAATATTTATGCTGCAAGTCACTTTTCTTGCAGAGTAATGCCACTACGCAAATATGCAAATTAGAGAAAGGGGAGCAGAGAAATAATTTCAAAACAGCGTCGACTTTTATCGCGACAGTTCACTGGTAATCGTTTACTGTATTAATTCTGGGACCTCGAATTCCAGAAAACGTTCCGCTGTACATATATTTCCTTCAATACCATACAAAAATCTGTTAGTCTTCCCACTCATCGTCTTCGTCGTCATTATCGTCGTCGTCGCTGCTGCCGCTAGTGTCCGAGTGAATGGCCCGAGAACGCTCGGCCAGGGCTCTTGCCAGCGCGCCTGCGAGGGTGTCCTCAGGGGCACTGTTCATCGAAGGTTTTGGCGTGGGCTGAACCTAACAGGTAAGAACACAAAGTCAAGATTAAACACTCCAATTACGACGGCCCCACTACTACAGCACTTTCCTTGTATTCAGAAGTTTTTAAATCTCAGCGAGGTAAAAAAAGGGTATAAAAGAAGGCATTCTGGAGTGGGGGGGGGGCAACAAGCTTCGTTGCACTGACGTCGGTTCATGGGTGTTAAAAGTAACACATAAATACAAAGTCCGTACGCAATTAGACGTTGGTTGAGCGTTGAAGTGGACACTGGAACTAGGAAGTGTGAAGCGAGCAATGTTGGAATCGTCAGTACAGGCAGCGCATATGGGAATAATGGAAGAATTATGAAAGGTGAACAAGGAAGGATTTGTAAGGAGGAAGTCACGGCTCATTCTGAAGTACAATCTCAGTTTTCACCTGAAGATACTGAGGAAACAACAAAAAGATTCAGTCAGGATTCAAACCAGGAACAGAAAGTGGCAGAACATTACCTCTGCACAACTAACGTACTTAACACAACCCCACCCCCCCAATACCCACATTAGCACAGCATCTTCCTCTTCTTACTTTTTGATAAACGCATGTCACGCATTTAAATAACTAATTATAACCTCACTTTCCTTTTTGGGCAAAAACCAGAAAACTTACAGATTTCAGTTCAATTCCTTGACGAATCTGGTCCAACAATTCACCACGAGAATCACTGGCACTCGAGGATCGTTTACCATCAACATCCACGTGCTGCACAAATAAAATCATGAATACCAAATCAAAACACATTTAAAATTCCTTACAGTGTGGTATTTCCACGACTCTCGAGCTTCAATCATATGCGGCGCTCGCGATCAACGCCAAATTGTCTAGCCCCTGATTCAGGAAACATTTTATGTCGTATGCATTTTGGACAACATAGGGTTGAATATGCGATGAGGGGCAGGACAGTTAAGAACGCAATCTCAAGAACATCATTACCTTAAGTGCCCTGCCACTGCGAATAGACTCGAGCAGAGCTGACCTAGGGTCATTTGCCCCTGATGCCGAATGCCCGTTGGAATCTGCTGCTGACACGGACACAAGAGGCGGGGGAGTCGACGTGGGAGGTGGAGGAGGAGGGGGCGGCGGTCCTCCTAAAAAGTACACGAGTATATTAATAATGCTTAAAATGTGTAACTCTGGAGTGTAAATAGTACCTGTGACCTGAATGTGGCTCCCGGTCCAAAAGGTATCAAAAGCGTAAGATAAAACCCACAACGAATCACGGAAATCTGGGTACATTTTTTTATTTAAAATAAGACCTAACAGGCTGAACAAAACAGAAACCAACCTTGCGATGTTGCCACATCTTGTTTATCTAGCCTGATACTGGAAATTGCTGATAGGGGCAGATCGCGCAGGCACCGGAGGCGGTCCCACTGGTGGCTGTGGAGCCTGAGGGTAAACCACCTCATCTTTCACAGCATCAAGTCCGCCATGACGATTGATGAAGTCATATATGAACTCCCGTGTTTCACGGTCTTGAAGCTGACTGTCCGACACTCCAGCCTAAAAATTGAAATTTCTGTTGCGCACACAAACGTTCCAATGCTTATTAAAATATTCACGAGGGATGCCAAAATTACAGCATGCTTCCTTTACATAATATATAATTTATCTGTACAGTGGAACAATGACAGAACACGTATGGCGTAAACGACAATCTTTAAACGGCAATATAATCAGGACCATCACTTGAACATCGCATGTTTTGAAAAAGTCGCACAGAACAAGGGGCTCTTACGGCATTTTTATCGTAACAAGCAATTCTGTAGCCACAGATTTTTCCAATAACTTTCTGCACTTCCTAAGCAATTTAGAACTGGATGACATCTCTCCCCCTTTCCCCTAGCCCAAGAGAACGTCTACTTTCCAGAATCTGTGAGTAGCTTACCACTTCCAAAGTTAGACGATAAGAAATGTATATTAAATGACGTCACAAAATAAAGTTTCATCTCCTCCCACTGAGTGGCTTAATGAAACTGCCCAACAAGGCGTTCTGTGCTATGTTACGTGCACAGTACAGTACTTCAGCACGTCAAGACGCGTACCTTATCGAAAAATAGCTTCAGTTGTGGATCCTCAACATTATCCAAATCAAAGCCCTTGTTTGGGTCCCAGCCAACATGTGATACATGACGGAAGTCCTTTGGTAAGCCAATATCTGCTTTCGTAAGCCGACGTTTCGAATCCTTATCTTTCTTCTTGCCACCTGAAGCCATTTACAAAACAGTAAACCATGAATTTGGATGGATAAAAATTTACTGTTCCATGAAAAACAATGAAAATTTGTTCTTCCAAGCAGATCGCCCCTGAGAGGAAAATGAAAACATATCAAACGAATGTGAATTAATTACCTGTAAAATCTTCACAAATAAGCAAAAGCCATTATTTGAGTTCACTTCTATTCTCATGCTTGCCTCAACAATCATCAAGATGATAACTTCTCTCCAACAAATTATAACAAAAATCTTACTTGTTTTAGTGCGATGCTGTTGCCTTGGAGATGGTAGCAACGAACCGTTAGCCAGGTGACTGGAACTGCCCATGTGACTTCCAGTCAAATTTCCTCCGTGTCCTGACGACACCGATTTGTGAGATGGCTGCATGGAAGACCGTGATCGTCGCTCTACGTGTCAGAATAACGAACGATAAACGCTACGTAATTGCCACACTGCAATGCTAGAAGATTGTGGACGACCACCGAATATACAACCATCTCCACCTTTGCTATTCCCTGGTAGAAGATTATTCCTCACATTTACTGACTGTCATTTTCCGCTTCTCCTTGTATCTGCTTAAACATAACCCAAAATTTCTGCAGTCTGTCATTATCTATACTAGTAGCCAACCTTTCTAATTTCAATGTCTAACGCAGTGATCGTAAGTCTTTTTGCCTACCAAATCCTCTCTTGACCTTTCAAACTCTGTTATGCTCTTCACATAAGTCACACGAGGCTACGAAGGTTTTGAAATTCCGTCCACGTCATGCATAAAAACAAGGAATCTGATAAACAAGAATTACCAGCATGGTTCTGCCCAAATTCATATGTTAATAGCCGAAACAGCAGAATATGGAGTGCTGAAAAATCTGCATACCCTCCATGACACTCCTTTGCCTTTTGTTTTCTGATTTCAACGCAATTTACTTTTTGACAGAACGGAACATGTCACGAACTGGTTGCATGAGTTTTGAATCATGCTGTACTTTTATAGCCACTATTTCACCGCAAATAACGATGGATGATAGGAGAATTATGGTGACCACTACGAGCATAACGCAACTCACCAAGCCGGCGTTGCTTCCTCGCTTCTAACTTTTCATTAAGAACAATCTTTATGCACCTCGCTTCATCTTCGCTGGCAAAATTGAAGGCCACAATACACTCCTGAAAAAATTAACAAAGTGTGAGGTAGAGCCATTTTATGAACCAGTCAACGAAGGCAGTTTCTTGACTGGGCCAGTGCGGAACTGGGTCAGGATCAGGACTCCTGCTGAGAGCCAAAAGCAGATGGAGGGCATAAAGCAGCCTGACCAGGGGGGAAAGGGACTTTTCCTTTGCCATCTCTTTCTGTTTCTCTCCCCCACGTTCCTGTATCTAAAACCGATTCCATGTGCACAGCTCAGTCATCACCTTACGATGGGGGCAACAAGGACCTCTGAAATGCTAATAAATATCTACTAGACTACACGGTTCTACAATCTGGAAGGCAGCCATCTTTGTACTCGCCACCACGAGAACCTCAGATCTTACAAACCGTCTTTTGTTTTCATCAATGAATTCTTCAGTCTTTTGTATACGATGACAAGTCGCAACATTTATATGACAGCAGAATTTATGTACTTTCGGTTCCAATATAAAGCAAGAGCACTGAACACAAACCTCTCCTTCAAACGTGTGTAACCACATCTTTGGACATTTGTAATCCATACTATTGTATAATTCATGTTCCCACACCATCTGACACCTGGTCAGGCAGTAGAGACGGAAGAAATACGAGCGTCGCTGATTGTCCTTCACTAAGCACAAGACGCCTGCGTCACTACGTCTCCAGGCTGAGTGATCGGGTGGGTCTGTCACAAACAACTGCACAACTCCTGTGGCCAGTGTCTGAAACAAATCAAAACAAGAAACCCTAATAAACAAAGCTAAAAGTCACGAAAAAACAACGGAAAAAAAGAAATGCTCTTACGCTGAAATATACATCGCATAAGCCATAACGCTGTCCGAACAATTACGCAACTTCCATTTAACATTTTTCCGTCTCTGACCTGAAAATGCTCAAAATCCCACGCGTGAAAACGCATATTTATCATTATTAATTGTAGTGACCGTTTTCTTACATATTCAATATGTTCAGGTCCATAATCCGTTCCACCTAAAATGGCCAGGGCTCAAAGAATTAGTACACGAATTGTAACTCACATGTATCCAGCGTAAAAGAGTGGGCTGTCAAAATGACCGCCACATCAAACGCATCAAAAGGTGAACGCTCAGGAAAACCTACCCACCCATATTATGTTCTCCCAAGGAACACAAAAATGTAACAGGTCATAATCAAAAACATAGAGCTACTTACACTTAACCTATATGAGTGGATTACACGAATAGACTCCAATATTTTCACATCATATTACTGCACTTACCTTAATAGTTTTACATATAGGAAGATATATGATGAAATCAGTTTCCTCTACAGTCCTCTTGCACTTTTATACAAAGTCCATGAGGAAACCAAGTATCCCAGATGTAGTAAATTACGTACCTGACACCTATTGCCCAACAGACGATATATCTGTTCATTTTCATCATGTGTGAGCAGCATGGAGCCATGATGGTCTGTTCCAGATTCTGATCTCATGTTTCTGACAAAAAAAAATATAAACTTAAAAGTTGACAGTTGCTGTACTTATACTTTAATTAATTCTTGCATATAAAAATCAGACCTCTAGAACATTACATCTGTGCTATGGCAAGGTGACACATATAAAAGACATATATACAAAGTGTCTACAAGCTAAACCACCCAACTGAAATGTGTGTATGTTTGATCCAAAAGTGCTAAAGATGGTATAGTAACTTGGAAAGTTAATTAAAACACATAATACACTCTCACATGAGTCATGTTTCTTAAGCCCAAAATATCTAATGCAATACACTAGTACATGGGGCTCATTCCACATCAAATCAACACACTGAACCCCTTTGGACTTCAACAAAATCTGGTGAACCTTTAAACTCTGTGGATCTAAGTAAAAATACAAAATATTAGCTTTATACTACAGCTTGTAGTTTCCTGTAACAGGCATTCACAATTCAAAGAGCTTTATTTAAATTGTAAAGAGTAATCATTCTTGTGTATTGGGGCCTGGTCTCCATTTTATGAGACCATAATTCACATTTTAATTGCCACGTAAGTCTATGTTAATGTAATTTACATAGTACCTTGCCTTTTAACATAACACTGATAGTAAATGAATATAAAACTGTTTATTTTTAAACAGAATATTTATCACACAATTTTTTACCTTCACTGTTTACTTCTGAAATATCCTGGAAACTGACATGAATTACGTCATGATCTATTACTTTCCGGAATATTACATCCTCTTTGGACTAATAAAAAATGTAACTATTCAATTCAACTTAAATTTCACGCAGCCACGTATAAAATTGAAATTTGAATCACGATATTAAGATGAACAATTTAATTCTTTACTTGCAAAGACAATATTAAAATCCATACACACACGCACAGATAGCCATTACTCATAGCTTAAACTATGTTGATATTAGCTGTGATTCTAACAACCTGACACACCCGATATTCAGTACTTTAACCACCAGATGTCGCACACTTCTTTTCTCTCTGGATTCTTTGAATGTACCAACATCACTACATGTGGTTACGAAAATTCTCTTTGCTGGAAAAAGTTGGTTGCTGAACAGATGCATATAACCATTAAAGTGCAGTTCGTACCCGAATACACAGAAATTACTAATACGAAAATTTGTACGTAATCTAACCCTACCAACTTCATTAATTACCTAACAATGTCTCACCTAACCAGAGCTTTATAACACTAAACAAACAACCCTCAACCTAAATTAAACTACCCTGCCCAAACACTGTAAACAAACAACCCTCAACCTAAATTAAACCACCCTGACCAAACACTGTACAACATACCCTAACCTAACTTAACTGACACTACCATAAGGTAACCTGTCCTAAACTCAACTAAACCTGACCACATAAAACTTAGCCAGTCGTTCCATCGCGAACCAATAAACCGTACAGTTCCAGCTTCTGGAGATTTGTGCGTTTGAGCAACTGTGAGGACCTGTGAGCTATGTAGCAATGGGAATCACAAACAAAACAAAATAACCAACTCCAATTCACAACAAAGTTGTATTCCTCGAAGTCTGTTCCATACCAGTGCCTTACTGAAGTGTCTTGTATGAAACTGTATTTCACGTACAATGCATTTTCTTCACTGCTTCTACTTAAGTGTACAAAATTAAACATCTTTCATAAATTAACATCACATTCATTTTAATCATTATCATAACATTCACCAATATATTTTCTTTCATTATTTGTCTGACTTAATAGTTAATACTTAGAAATGGTAGATAAAGATTCTGAATGGGGAAATATTGGCTACTAGTATATATCTTCCAGCAAGTTCGATAACAGGAAGTCAACTTCTTTTACAACATGAGAACGTAGTGACTGATTACAACTATATTTGTAAATGTGAAGAAAAATAAATAATTTCAAAGGAATTATATGCAGTTTGTTTATTTACTATGGAATCAATTATAAGATAATTATGCAGTGGTAGAAGCCATTAAAGTACAGTACAGTTAATACAAATTCCGTAAATACTCATTTTTAAATTTGGTGAATCTCACACTGTACAGTGTGACACCTTATCAACACTGTTTTTATATTACAAATAAATAAAATTCAGTCAGCAGAACCCAAAGTTTCAGCATCATTAACACCAAAGCCTGTGGAAACCTACCGATAGTCTTTTTTCATTTTATATTCCTTAATTTGAAGTGTAAGAGCACCAGGATTTTTAAGTGCTTTGTCTTTAATGGTAATGCCCTAAAATCGTGCCCACCTTTATTAGCAAACATATTTTAAGTATACAAAATAAAGGAAAACAAGTCAGCGACACTTTATGTATTAAAGAGACATCACAATATGAACTAAATTATTTCTCACTCCCAAATATGTCGGACTCATGTCCTAGTCTCAGCTGTGCTTAAGTTATTGATTAATCTGTATTCCAACTGCTACGTAATAGTTTATTTCTGAGATTTTCCCTTACTTTTTTGGTACTGGTCCATGTCATCTCATTCATAGAAATAAACTCCCTATTAAATCAACCTACAGTGAAGTTGATTCCGTACAAGTTAACACAGCCCTCGAGACAATTTTACAAAATACAATATGCTCCCAAATCAAACTCGTCATCAATCACGGATGTGGCATCGATAATTAGTAACACTAGATTAACACAAACATCATTATTGATGCAATGATCAACATCATATCACTCGTAACCAGAATCCTTGTTGCCAGGTTGTTGTTTGACAGTCCTTGTTGGTTTGGTTCATCCACGGAATTACTGCCATAATTACCAACAGCTGGGTACCAAGGTTCTGTGGGGTGCTGACTCGAAACCGCACCATTGGAAGAAACGTGCCAAGTATTGCTTCCAAAATCAGAATTGGATGTCTGAGAATCTGTTGAAGGTGTCCACGTAATACCTCGCCCGTAACTGGACGGTCTGTTGTTGGGAACTTGTCCCATTGTAGGGTAAGTTGATGTGGGGAGAGCAGGGGATGTAATGTCTGACGGAGTGTGAACGCTGCGACTGACGCCGGTATCCGACGACTGTCCAGGCAGCCACGATGGTTTATTGTACTCATTGTTTGGTTGAATGGAATCATACGGTGGCGCACTGCTACTGCTGATGCTACTGGCATCTGAAACTGATCATCACGTCGCTGTTAATTACGACATCAGACGTCACTAAAATTAATTTTTATTTAAATGCGCACTTTTCTTAGTTACATTTATAATAATCTAAGCCTAGGTAAAATAAATCGCTAGTTGAAGTGGAAATTGCAAAATTGCAAACCAAAGGAGCACTGTGAGAACAAAAATCACCCTGAAAGAGAGAATGATGGTGGTGTACCTAAATCATTTTCTAAAATTTAATAGTTTTTCAAAGCATGTGTTTATTTTCTTCATTTTATTTTATGAACTACCCCAAAATAATGCATATAATCCCTACCTGGAGTCCAGCTGTCCCTAGCAGATGATGATCTGTGTCCTGAACCTCCTCCACTAGGCATCCAGGGACTTGGTCCCTCTATTTCTGAAGAAGTCATCCCTCTCCTATCTGCCCCTGTGTACGAAGTCTTACTTTATAATATTTTTTTTATTCAGTTCATTAGTAATTGTTGTAGAGCCATTTCAGCTTTTCATAATACTGAACACTATACTCATATGTCTGTGTTAATTTCCATCTGAAGGACAAAACATTGTTAACTGGCAGAACTCTGCTTTCCGCACAAGCAAAGCGTTCAGTATTCTTAAATATTAAAATGTGTCAACAGGCTTAAAGTACTCCTTAAATGATTTTACATATGTAAAGTACTACAATTTTCTTTTCTTGCAACTTTCCTCCAAAAATAATGAATTTTTCTTTCAGATTTTCCCTCTTCATTTTCCTCAAGACTATTGACATTATCTCAGTTCATTCAACATGCTTTGAAGCTATAAGAATCAAAATGTATTCATTACTCCAACAAATTTATAAGAGTCTTCATTAAACCAAATTTTGTCTTACCACACAAAAATTTATATTTCCCCCCCCCCCCTCCAATTTAAATCGAGAAGAAAAAGTTATGATTGGAAATCAAAATGAGAAACAATATAATTTTTAGATGCAAGATTCTCGAGTTACAAGCCGCGTCAGGTGGCTGAACGGTGACGCGGCTTGTAACCCGAGAATCTTTCATAAACTTGTAAGACTTGAGGTTCTCACAGCGGTGAATATGAAGATTTCTGTCTTCTGGGTTATTGCGCTGTGTAGTCTGGTCGATGTTAACCAACGTTTCAGAGGTCATACTGCCTCCGTCATCAGGGCGATGAATATGCCAATAACCCAGAAGACAGAAATCTTTCATAAACTTCAGTCGCCGTGATAGCTTCACTGCATACATAAATTTTAGAGTTCACCGACCTGTTCCTTGCGATTGCCATGGGTGACTAGTGACATCTGGAGAATACGGGTGGTGATTACTGGGCCTGTGCTGTTGATCAGGCACATTCTTTCTGTTATTGGTGCTTTCATCCTGTCCATTATATGGGTTTGTGAGAATTGACAGTCCAGGACACTCCCCTGTGGTTGGGCTGAAATTAAGAATATTACTTTAATGACAATTCCAAGCCTATTAAAATGCAAGTAGCGACAAAGTGTCTAATTTAAACAATGTCATAACGGTCCTGCATAAATCCCGAGAAACATGTTACCGCAAAACCGAACATTTTCTGTGCATTATCCTCAAGTTTTTGTAACTAACATTTTTTTTTTAAATTTGTGCCAATTAACACTTACCCAAATCTTGAAGTGTACGAGTGACTAGACTTTCTGACACACTGCGGAATAAAATGCATGAAACTGAGATATTTGTCCAGACCCTTTCATTTGAGCATGAGATGGAAGACCTTACCAGATACGCGGATGACAAAATCCACTCAGCACAAGAAACAAGAAGAACAGATTAGATGTCATTATCATTCATAACACTGTTCCAACAGTAATTTAAATAAACATTACATGTTACGTTACATTATGAATAAATTATACAGAATCAGTAAAGAACACGTCACCCACGCTGAGGTTCTTATGATTTCTTGTACTTTGGAATTCATTCGTGCTATCTGTGCCCATTCCGCGTGCAGTTGCCTACCTGACAAGTTTTCTTGCAGTGGAATATCTTCAATGGAGCAAAGTCCCGCTTGAAAAGCCGAGAACTGTTCAACTTCTCGAGCAAATTCCCATTTTTATTGAATCCAGAGGTTCATTACCATGATTAAAAGAGCCTGACATTGGATGCCATCTTGACTCACATGAATAGAATCCATACTCTCACATCCTATTTCTTGAAAATATATTTTAATATTATCCCCTCCCCTCTATGCATGTGCAATTGCATCAGTGAGTTTGTGTGCATGCATACTTATGCATATCTTCGACTACTCTTGCTGTAAAGTTGGAAGCATTTAGGCGGAGGTAGATACTTAAATCTATTAAGTACGTACTTTAGGTTGTTTTAATTCCCACACATGTTAACTGCTTTAAAATTATTAAAATTATATATTTTTTTATAAAATCAGAATTTATATTAAAAAAATGAAAATTAACTAAAAACTACATTAAAATGTCTTTACTTTTGTATTTCTTCCTCTAAAGTTTTAATTTATCGACTGTGTTTTCCACTACCATTCACAAGGGATTTACTCACATGTAATTGTAGCATTGATCACGCAGAAAACTGAGAGCTTTGTCCAGCATCTGTCTCGAGAAGTGCGTGGCAGAGCCTCCGTCCGTTCCCGAGTCACACTGCCGCTTTGTTTCCTCCAGCACACACTCACGGAAGCGAAGGTGTGAGCTGTCAACAGCGAATCAACACGTACCTGTCATTTGAATCATCAACGAAGAGCGACCGGTCCTTAATCTTGAATAAACTAAACATTTTATTATTTTATTTATTCATAAACTTATAAATAACTTCCTGAAATGTACATATATTTTATTTACATGCCACAACACTGTAATATTCAGTTCCTTTTATATATTTAATTAAAATAAAATTATGTTACTCAGTTCTTACCAACAAAGGCTGACTCGGTTGGCTTCGCCAGACACCTGGTCCACAAGATGGTGGTAGTGCCTGCCGCAGTGTTCATCCTGTGTCAAAGTTGACTTTATGCACGATGCATGCTTCAGATATTCTGTAGCAAAGGAATAAAATTTTATTGCCTAAGCCGTAATGGTGTTACGCTGTAGTTATGTCGTAACGCGCATAGAAAGTAATGAGACTAACAATCATTTAACACTTGGCTGATGGATTACACCCAATAAAAGTGATTAAATAAACATACTTTTAAACACTGTCATGACATGAGATTAGTTTGGGTCGTAACTTAACTGGTAAACGGGTACGCTACGACACCGCCGTCATAGATTATTAAATTCAATCTAGTACATTATACATTATATAGACTTTCTTAACATACGCAATGAACGTGGAAGAATGGTTTACAAAGTTCACCTGTTTGATATTTTGTGACAGTGCACATCTGATGAACGGAATCCACGGGATTCTCGACGGCTTTGTTGAATTCCTGTCTCCGAGACTCAGTAAAGCAGCGATCTGTATATCTCTTCACGCAGTCAACAAACTGACTCCATCGTCTTGAGAACATTGAAATAAAGCATTTCAATTGTTGTATTGTGCCTGCATCATCATCATTTCTTTCCTGATTACAGGTTTGTTCTTTTACTAGTGAATTTCCTCTTGAACCAGGTTTCAGTTCGTAGCACTTTTCCTATCATAGACAATATCTTCTCTTCCCTTCAGGCTTTCCAATAAAAATTTTAAATGCATTTCCCATCTTCCCGATGCATGCTACATGCCCCTTCTGTCAGTGTTCTTCCCTTAAAATTTAAGTTATTAGATAATCACGTGTTATGTAACACGAGAGATCAAGTTTTATGCAATACAAAACGACAGGCAAAATTACGGATCTAAATATTTTAATCTTGCATTTTCAAATAGTAGGCAGGAAGAGAGATGATTATGAACTCGATGTTAGCAGGCATCCTCTGAATTTAGTCTGTTATGAACGAAATTCTGACTGCAGAAAACCCACCAACAAATATTTATAACCTAACCTGCAAACAAGATCAATGTCAGCCCTGTTGTCCGGAAAAATAAGATGTGGATCTTTCAACAACGGATCAGCCATCTTCACGCAAAGATCATAATCTTGTCTGGAACACTGTGAGTTCTCCGACTGTGAATACGCTGTCCCTGAAATAAGAGAAATTAAGCAAAACTGATGATAGCCGATGCCATGCCGACATGATGCGGTCTCCAGTTATGGAAGGCAGCTGTCACAAATTAACCCAGAAAACGATGTTCACGTCTCATCACCAAAGAGCACACAAAATTATAGCATAAAAGTAGCCAACAGATTCTTTGAAAATATGGCAAAGTTCAAACATTTTGCACAGTAGCAAATCAAAATTGCATCAATGATGAAATTATGAGAATATTTAAACCTGGGAAGTTTTGGTTGGAAAGCCTGAAGTGCTCAAAAGACCTAGGAATAGATGAGAGAATAATATTGAAATGGTTCTTAAAGAAATAAGGTGGGAGGGTACGGAGTGGATTCATCTGGCTCTGGTTAGGAACCGTTGGTAGGTTATTGTAAATAGAAGATGGCTGTCTTCTGGGCTGTTACGCCGTGCAGCTTGGTAGAAATTTACCGACGTTTCGCCCTGATGATGGAGGCAGAAAGGACCTCTGAAACGTCGATAAACTTCTACCAAGCTGCACGGCGTAACAACCCAGAAGACAGCCATCTTCAGAATCACCGTCGGGAAAACTTCAAATCCTACATTCTTGTAAACACTAAGGAACTTATAAGGGTCTATAAAAGGTGGTAATATCTTGATTGGCTAAGCGACTACAGTAATTAGTTTAAAATTCTTGAAAACATTATTTCAATTTCACGCGAAATATGTTTTCAGTATAACGTGCAAATCTGCCTGGAATGTCGGTAGGACATATACATAATACTGGACATTTGATATCTGTAATAAGACATGCTATACGCTGCATTTGCGTGCAAAGCCGAGGTTGCCTGACAACAGCCGACCTGAGTATTTTATTATGCATGATCGTAAGATACCGTCTCTTGGCACTACGTAAGAAGCCAGCACAATGGGGCTTCTGAACTTTGAATATTCTCCGTGGACATGTAAATGTTCGGCCTGAAAGCGCCCCAGATTCGTACGTTGCCCTTGGCGGATAAATAATGCAATTTCAGATTAATTAAGAAACAGAATAAAATTTCAGTTTATATTTCGTTGTAATTCGCGTTTCAAAGAAATTATTATTCCTAAGAATAAAATGTTGCTAGCTGAATGGTTTGGTAAGAAAATGATGCACACTATTTACACATTTATAAACGCAAAATAGCTTTAAAGTCTTCAGTGCATATAGGATTTTAATGTAATATTACGCAGAAAATTACACATCATTTTAAAAACCAGACACATTAAGTTTTAGCGGTTACAGCATTTAGGTGTGGCTGATAACTTATATAACATATACTCAAGTAAATAATAAAATCAAATTTAAAATATTTGGCTCCGATATTGCAAGGAAATCCAAAAAAAGTTGCTTTTTTGAAATGCAATCGTCGTCGATATTAGTAAGAATCGATGTTTACTGGACACGAGGTACTGCAATCGATACGCAGGAAGTCGCTCATAACCGAGATCGAGAAGGTGAGCTGACGGTATCGATAGGTCATCGAAGTGCTGAGATAGAATCGTCTCGTTTTTCGGACTCCGATTCGCTGCGAGTGGAGTGAATATAATTTCAAAAAAAAAATGCTTCAATTCGCGCCAAAAGTTATTGAAACATCCGAGGTCGGTGCTTACTGTCTCTTCTTATACATAACCTAAATATTTCTATTTCATATTAAACGTTTCGTAGCAACTTACAATTAGAATGTCTTGTAGAATATCCTCTTCGACATTGCAATTGGACGCAGACAAAATGAGTCTTCTTTTAAAAAAACACTTTTAGTTGCAAATTGAAGAATAAAATCAATAGTATGCATCTGTCAACAATGAAGGTGGAAGAATATATTCACAGTTACAAGAATACATTCTAGAGGCAGTTATGTTAGAATGGTAACACAATCAGTGTTCAAAGACGTAGCATCGGTCGTCTCTACAAATAAGACAGTTTTCTCTCTCTTGCTAAAAACCATGGTGTAATGAATACGTAAATCGTTGACTGTTAAAATCAACATTGCAAAAGTTAACACACGTGTTTGCAGTAATATATTGATCGTTTCTTTCTGAACACGCCACGCACTTTTTGAAGTTCATTGACCCAGTGTTGGATTACTCACTCAACTCGTAAGTGACCCAAAGAGAGAAAATAATATATACTTACTTAGGTGCAAATAGCACGGTTTGGTTAATGCCATATCAACGATCAATATTCGCCGTGAACAATCGTGAATACAGAATAGAAAATTTTTCAAATAAAAATATTTGTAACAGGATATTTTTTATTCGGATTTCTGTGTAATAATATTGCTAGACAATTCTAGAAGAGTGAGGCTGAATCTTAGGGAATTAAACTGTATTAAACAGAATTTGATTAGGGTGGTCCAGAACGGATCAGGCGTGTCTTTGTTGTAGTGGTTAAAATGTAAATGTCGCAGAAATGGACTGTGGGTAATTTTACATCTACGTATGTAATTGTAACAAAAACCACGAATTGATTTATTTATAGTTTATCTTATGATGCCTTTTCATATATAGAGAGTCAAATGAGAGGATGACAGCGAGTAATGAATTGGAATGGATGTGGAAGGAAGCGTTCGTAGCCTAATTTAAGGTAATATCCCGGACTTTGCCCGGAGGAACTGAGGAAAATAACGATAGACGTCAGTCAGGATAGTCGATATCCGGGCTGAGATTTCAACCCGGAACCTCTCAAAACACGAGGCAGGAGTGCCAACCACTCGACCACAACATCCGGTACACGAACCGTGAAATTTCGTTATTTTTTTTAACGTAAAAAACAGTAATGAATTGGCACTCGAGAGCAATAAGGCAAACACGGCCTTAAGTAATATTACTGATCTGCAATTTTAGGTTGAAGGCGTGTGTTTGCAAGTAGCTGATTTATTGTTATGGAAGTCTGAACCTGGGGATAAATTACATAGCAGCTGTTTCTATCAAACGTTTTGTATCAGGAAGCTAAATTCACGGAACACTCGAAACGCATAGGAAATACAAAGAGTTATACAGAGTTTGGTGATAATCGATCAAAACTGATTTTACCGTAAACTGTTGGAACTGAAGTGATCTGCTAAAGTATTATACTCACGTGATGAGGTGTGTAAAAGAAGAAGAAGAAGAAGAACTGCGATGATTGGCGTCACCTCCTGAAACGAAAAACCCGTCAGAAAGATTCACAAAAATGTCCGTAGAGACGACCTTGATAAATTTTACTCCTGAAGATGGCACCGATGATGATAGTCTCTCCGAGGAGGACGTTGAAGCCAGAGCTCTTCATTCAGAGATTCTATGATGTTATCAGGGCTGTAAAACCAGGGCAGAGACGAGTCTGTTGTTCTGATATTGGGTGCCCACCGCCCGGAACATCCAGGCCACAGGCCTGGAGCGTGAAAAGGAGGTCCTCATTCCGCCACATTCCTTTCGATGCTGCATTTATGAAGCAATTTAATTATTACGTGCAGGAGATTGAGAACTAATTACGAGTTCATTCGGGTCTGATTTTAATAGCTCGCCAAATAGTGCCAAAAGTTTGTGGAGAACTCACTTTTCTAACGTTCTGACAGCTTGCAATTTGAAGTCAGGAGAACTTCGCGACCCTTGGATACGAAATGAATTGGAAAATAAAACACGAACGAGTCTATTTGTTACGTAAAGTGGGAGGAAACACTTCAAACATCCATCACTTTTAAGTGGTAACGCCTTGGACTTGCATTCGCCAGGTTGTGGGTTTGAATCCCTCAACATTCCTCCATATTTATCGCCAATGATTATCGTTCCATGCATCACTCCATTTGACGCACGCAGTCTCACAAGTCACGAATCGTACGAAGACAAATATTTGTGGGTCCGACCGAATTAACTTGGAAAAGGAGTTCAAGGAATGAACTTGCTAGGTGAATGGAACTCGGCCTATCGAAGTCCAGTTCCTGTCGATGGTTCACGATAATTAACGTTCGAGCTATCGAAATGTTCCGGGAGGTTGGTCACGTCTGATGAATGAGTTAGGATGTGATGCTGGACATTGTGATGAAAGGCGAAGGGCGGGAAACAGAAGGGAAGTCGAATTTCCTGTACGATCACACATTCCACGTATTGTTTTGGATGGTCTCGAGGCCGGCGGCCATTGTTCGTACCTCTATACAGCGAGAGCTGTCATCCATGGACTGACGAGATGTGAGGTGACATCACCTTTTCCCTTATCCGTAGTTCACTGAACTACACACAACAATAAATATATCGCATTTGTGGTCATTTCACGGTAAGCAATTGACCCACGTTTCAACGGTGCTTTCTGCTTCCATCATCAGGGCGGAAATAAGTTTAACCGTTCTATTTATTAATTTGAGTGAAGTGGGCCGATAATCAGTCTAGGTGGGTTTGCTACTAAATGTCCAACAAATTTAAAGTGGTAATTGACGTAACTTTAAGTATAATGGCCGAAGCTGATGACCAAGTGAGAAAGAAATAGTAAACATCATTATTTTAAATTCGTTTTCTGTTAATCGATTGTTTATTACGAGATATTTTATTATAAAATTAATTTGTGGGGAATTAGGGAGCTCGCGGTCCGAAGGGTACTACGGACCACATATTGTACATGTCTGCATTGAACCGTGGTTTGTTCAAGTAATCGCGTCTTCAGCTCACGCAAACCCCAAAAGGCAAGTTCTGCATATTCTACAAAGCACGTCACACCAGCAATCTGATGGTCCGATCTTCAGAATGTCCCAGATGTCGGACTGTAATTACAAGGGCGATAAAACGCAGGGTTACAAATAGAGAGTCAAGCCACTGTACGTATTGTCTGCGTCAGATTACGTGGCACCTGCACGCCACAGCAGTGACTTTTGCTCAGTTCGACATGACTTTGTGCAATGGGATGAAAGATCGAGCTTAAAATAGCAAAGGAAAAAAAAAAAAAACTTTTGCGAGGTGCGATGTTCCATTGTCACATGCTATGCGCAGAGCGAGTAACATTATACTCCCTTACCCTCGAAGATAAATACGTAGCATACGACAGAGAGCTTACCGCTTCATTGTTGTAATCTAAAAACATTGTTTAAGTCCATATCTGTTTTAAGTTTTAAATGCGATTAATTTCATGTATTGACAATGGAGAATATTCAACACACTGTAAATCTATAAATAAATCACCCAATTAGCCATCAAATCAATCAAAACATCGAATGATTACGATCAAAAGATCAAGAACTTGCTGGATTATGTTGTGGTCTATTTTAAGTTACTATTCTAACGTTTACACCGACAGACTGAGAACTACAACGAAAGAAGTCTTACAAGATATGGAAATGCTAACCACGGCACCGCAGATTCTGTGACCGATCATATATCAGGGTTTAATTTTAGAAGCGTTCTAATAGCCTTAATTGTTGGCTGCTGATGAATGTCTAACAATGAACTTTTAGAACCACCTGTACCCGCTGATTCACAAAGCTTGAATATAAATTTATGCTAATCAAGTTCCTGACGCACTGTCTAGAAACCTGAGAAACATTTTCCTGTTTCTAAGTTTAGTCGCAGCCTTGACAGAATAACAGAAGACCGTGATAAATTACAGAAGTGATATATTTGCGTTTAATTAGCATAGAGACGGTGTTTCCATTGTTGGCTGGTGTTCCGTTTAATCAGTTGCGAAATTATTAATGCGTAACAATGAAGGTGAGAACCGAGATCTCATCGCTGTGAATGGAAACACAGAACAAAAATAAGGTTAAGTTTACCTTGACGTCATTAAAAATAAACGTTTCGTTCAATTCGTGTGTGCATTCTTTTACAGACTTTGCGAGAGTTGCTAGGAAAACCATGTTATAGTTGTTGGATTAGTAATATTTATCGGATGTGCACGGGAGAAGTCTCCCAAGCCATGGCCAGGACTCTCAAGGACATCTTCCGCTGTTACAATCAAGTACGCACGAGAAGAACTGAGCGTAACATAAACATGAAATGAAAAATTCAACACCGAACACAAACACGAGTAGTCTACTTACCATTCTTGTGGGAGACGTTCAAAATGCAACTTTTATGGATGAAGAAAATATCAGTTTTTATTTGTTCGTTTGATATTTCAAATTCTGTTGATCATATTCGTTGTGGTCATTGGGAAATGCACTCTGAAATAAAAATCTGTGTATAATTCATGATTATCTAGCAGTTAGTGTGTTTCGTAGAACTAGTAACATGTTTGAAAATACTAACCTAAAACGAAGATTTCTACATTTCTTACTAGAGTAATATAATTTTTTTTAAAGGAGCATTACACTTAACATTTTAACTTGTTGCGAAAGACAGAAGTCTACAGCGATCACTGCAGGATGAATTAAGTTACATTTAGAATATTTCCATTCTCTTCAGCAAACAGTATTTTCATATTGACTGATTTTAGAAGGCGCATTTGAAGACAATTGATAGTTTTTATTGCGCACGCAAATTATTTTATTAAAGGCGTGCCATTGTATTATAAATGCGGTGGAAAATGGTGCGACAGAATATAATTTAAATGTATTTGAATTAATCAAAAGCGTGAAGATGTGATGATAGCAGATAAAATGACAAAATATAAAATTTTCAAGTTTTTACCACAAACAAATGCATAGTATTCTGCGGGATATAACGTTATATAACTGGGTATGTCAAACAGTCCTACCTCTGACATCCTTAATATAGAGTAAACTGCAAAATTCCCCCAAAACATAAACATAATTATTAAACCGAAAATGGAACGTAAAATTTTATGCAAAATATATATTAACAACCAAAATGTGCAATATTTGCCAGGTTATAATTTTCGCTCATTTAAAATAAATTAAAAAATTACAATTCCGTGATTACGATATTTCGTAACAGCAGGCCGTTAATTTAAAACTATTCAATGACAGTTTTACTATAATTAATGTTTATCGCTGGTACCTTTTCTGTTCCCAAATTAAGTAACATTCGGTTCACTAAACTCACAGTCGATATTTCTGTCAGCCTTTAATACGGACCGCAACAAAAATTTGCACACGCACTTACAAGAACCAGACTGAGTACTGACACACAGAAATTACCCGCGCATCGACAATTCGTTCGCGCGCTTGCGCAATGTGGTTACGGTATGTTGTTTCATAGAGCGCAAGATGGGGATAAAGTAATGTTAAATAGTCGAACACAAGGCCAAATACTTTGTAATGTTTATGGAATTTTTGTACTGACTACTGGTCAGATATTCTCCATTCATCGGATATCGGAGAAGAATTGGACGGTACAATAGCTAGATACTTCCTCTGCGCTATCAGAAATGAAACACTATTGACTCAAGCTCCCAATATTATTTCAGGCACATGTGGCCAACCGTATGAGCTTTTTAATTAAATCCTCGACGTTTCAGATGTGTTTCACTGTAAGTGGGCTGCCTTAGTTCTTGCAGTGACTTCAGATAAACAACCAACAGAAGAAGAATTGCAATATTCATGTCTCTACGTCTTCATAATCCAATGGGGGTTAAATGTAACATTACGTTTATTACTTGCAAAGTAATAAATGTTTACTTTCAGTTGAACTTATTTTTTAATTTTTTTTTTTACATTATTGAAGTTTGTTGGAGGGCTCTAATTTATAGGAAGTGTCAGCCAAGAAATGAATTTATAGACGAACGTCATAATTTTGTGTGTGTGTGTGTGTTTGAAACTGTTGGTAGTATCGACCATAATGCACAAACAAGAAAGCGTTCAATTGGGGTGAATGACACATCGCCAACGAGTTCCATATTGTTCCCACTCGTGGCCCCGTCTTAGTCTTCTCAAGCGAACGGGAATATTAAGTAATGATTCTCGAAGTACCAATTATTCGAAAAATAAAAAAAAATATTTAAAAATTAATTCATAACCAACCACGTATTTATTTCGGATACTGGGATGATTAATGGACTAGACCAGTAGATATTTACAGATTCCTTAATTTATTTTGGATTTTTACTGGTTCAGGACTGCTTCTATACCGAAGGAACAGCGGTTTGTGACCAACCGATTCCTGAACCCAGGATTATTATTTTTAATATTCTACTTATCGCACCGTGATATGACGTATTTGCGACGTAACGACCAACTATTTATGTCGTATTAGAGAAGCCTTCTTCCATTCCCACGGTAACAATATTAATTTAGCTCAATTTACTTTAATTACATACAATCCAAAATAATAACACAGAAAAAATCTACTTGCTACCTACACTTAGAACACTTTATGCCAGAGGACAGAACTTACAGATCTGAGGCTTTTGCGACGACTAAGGATAATGAATTCCTCTCGGGCTGACAGCCGTTTCAGGTGGCTTAATGAAGTAAACACTAACCTTTCGAGAACCATCTTCGTCCTCTTCGTAATGAAGGCCCCAGTGGTGCCGAAGAATGTACTCCAGCAGCCACTACCTAAGTTCCCAGACGCAAGACGCCGCTCGTTCGCCAGTGGTAGCAGCGGGTTTGAACACCGCTCTGATGATGGAGTCAGCAATGACCTCTGAAACGTCGATAAACTTCTACCAGACTACGCGGCGAAACAACCCAGAAATCTTCAGACTCATCGCCACGAAATCCTCAGATCGAACAATTAATATGATATTCAAATTAAGTCATGGTACTTGCAAATTCTCACAGACAAGTCGCTGGACATCAAAATATTCTGTTAATTCAGAAGGAAACAGGAGGATGTAACAACGCATTAGAGAATAGATAACAAAATATAAAAATTCAGACAAGTACACAAACACCTGTGAGCATTTGATTCACTTGGAGTTCTGAAATGCAAAAGTTTCTGTATTAGAGACATTCAGAATTAGAAAGCAAAGACTTAATGACCAGGCGAGTCACGTATTAAAACGCAACTACTTTTTCAGTGCTGTTGTAAGCGGATGGCGTCTTTAGGTAAAAATGTGAAATTATTATGAAGGTCAGGTTAATATCTGAATAAAAACCACAAAATACCAACACACTAATCATACAGTCAATGTTATATATTCACAAAATCCCTTTTCTTTTCAATCTTACAATCACTTAAAATCGTGAAACATCACCACCAGAAAGAAAATCACACTCGAAACATCGAACTTGCAAAATTATAAAAACTCTGTTACAACTTCAAATGAAAATCCTTCTGAATTTTTTTGGGGGAAAAGAAAAGCCTGTTGAAATGTTTATAATTCTTTCCAACCAAAATTAAAGGTTTAAAAGTTTCTGCTATTGTACGTAAACTATTTTCCAGTATTCCAAAGGGAACGAAGGGGAAACAGTACGTAAAATATTCCTTCAGCCCGATTATTTCGAAACCCCGGTAAGGGGTAAATTGACTAATCCCCAAATAGTCAACATTTTACTTGAAAACTATACATTAAAAAATTGCAATGAATAGACTAGTTTATTTCAAAAATTTTATATTGTTTACAGCATTCAATTTCACCACGAGGCTATGCAGGGGACTTACACCCATCACTTTAAAGTCGAGTTCACCGACTCAGTTACGCTATTCCTCATAAAACGACGACAAAATATTTACTCGTACGAATATCTTCGTATTGTTAAATTTTAATGATGCGAGTTCTAACTAACCGAAACACGCGTAGCGTTCATCATTCCATGTATCTTCTGACTTGTTCGGGCCTGAAGGATTTACAAGTTATGCGCGACTTCACTCAAAACTTAATTTATAACCCCACGTTTGTCGGCAATAGCCCACCGTTGGCAGCGCGGATGTCGGCCACTTGTTCGGGCGTCAAGATCACTTTCGCTCCACCTCGCAAGACTAACGCGTATTTACTCACATTCTCGTCACCAGGCACAACCACGAGCCTAGCGGGCGCGCGATTCAATTGCTGCTGTGTGTCACTGGGAGCTCTTTCTGGTCCACTGCTCTGATTTCCTCTACTTTGCGACAGATTAGCACCAGAGCTTCGTGGCTGGACCAACGAAGTGTCTGGACTCTTTGTCTGCGTAAAATGAACGCTACCAGGACTCATCTGAGCTACCGGACTGCCACGACTCTTTACCTTACTTACTGTAGTGCCAGGACTCCTCGTGTACACTCTCGGAGAGCTAGGAATCCTTGTCTGAGCAACTGGGGATACAGGACTATTTGCCTGTGCTGCTGGAGTGGCAGGACTCTTTCTCTGGATTACTGGAGTGCCTGTAGGAGTATCAGGACTCCTTGCATACGCTGGAGTGCCTGGAATCCTTCTCTGAGCTACAGGAGTTCCAGGACCGCTCGTCTGGGCTACTGGAGAATGAGGATTTGTTGTTTGGTACACTGGGGCTCCGGGATATCTTTTTGGGGTTAATGGAGAACCTGGAATTTGGGACAAAGAATTAGATTTGCAGACAGGACTTACTCTTTTGGTTACTGAAATATCAGGTCTAATGGAATGAGTAAATGAATCTGCGGGTAAAGCAGCACGGGTTACGGAAGCACCAGGATTTGTTTCTGTAACGAGATGTTTATGGGAAAGAGACGGGCTCAGAGGTACACCAGAGGGAAGAAACTGGCTTTCTGATCTAATCCCTACATCATCTTTTGCATTACTAATGGAATTAAATTTCTGTGCGTGTGTGATCGTACCAAGAGCAACCCCTGAATCATCTAAATAGATATTTTTATCGCTCTTTGTACTGGAAGGAGAGTGGGGTGATGAATTTGTGTCAGCGGCAGGTCGTCTTGGATTT